GGTCATTCCAGTCTTGAAACGCCATGGTTATGGTAAGAAACTGAATATAGTCCAGTAGATTATTTTCTTTTATCTATGATATAGTCACTTTTCTGGTCACTTTGTTTACCCCTCATGGGAGTCATTATTTTTTTCCATAGATATCTATAATATGGTGTTTTCGCCTGGTATTTGAGCTATAATAGTGGCTTGTGGCCGCAGTGTCACGCAAAACCCTAGATCATACGATTTAGACTTTGAGCAAAACAAACTAATTGCTGGAAGCAGAAAGTCATGTTCATTATTATACAGGGTGTTACTTAAATAAGTACAAATGTTTTAACTGGTAGTACAGTACGTCTGTCCGTTTAGTGGCTACTGGGTATCTGTGAGAGGGGAAACGATTTTCTCTCGATGTTTTTCGTAAAAAATTAGACGACGCGTCCCATCAATAAAAATTCGACAAATTTGCAAGTAGCCAATAAAATGAGTGGGCGGAGCGATTTGCGGTGACGTACTCGTCAAGTCGACGTATAAAATATATTACTGTTTATTTAAATGTTTTTTGTCCGTATTCCTTTCATAGACACAGATCCACCAGACGAACTGTATAATATACCTAATATTTTTTGCTAAAAAATATTTTTTAAAATTTGTAATTTTTGGACTTTTTTTTCTCATTTTTAGTTAAAAATCGTAATTTCTATATATTATTGCAACATAGGGAGTAGATTAAATTTGCAAGAAAGAACTCAGAAAAGATCCAGTAGTCAAAATTTAAGAAAAATTACTTTTTTGGAAATTTTCAAAGTAAAATAACTCGGATATTTTGGACTTATTTGAAAAACGGTAAAGAGCCTACCAGCCTATATATATCTACCTAAAAAATCTACCAACCCTGAAAATATTTGCATTTTTTTAAGTAGCACATTGAAGACTCATCCTGTATATGTGTATATTGTTGGTTATGGAACTTATAGTCTAAGAGCTAGCAACGTTTTCGAGAAAGTATTTTAAGAAAGCTGGGCTGGCAACTCTGTAACTAAATAGCGATCGGTAGCGATAAAGAATACTGACCTTGGCTGTACAAACTAAACGGCAAGCGACAGTATTCTTCATCGCTATCGATCGCTATTTCGTTACAGAGTTCCACCCCTGGCTCTTTAATATATCTTTTGCTATGATCTCTGGAACAGCGTGCGAGACAGTGCTGCCGATAGACGTTCCGTTCACTACTACGCATTGAAAGAAGATCCTATATTTTTTTTATTTATTCCGTTAAATACTAGTTTTGAATATAAATCAAATAAGTTTCCAAAGCGCGGCGCGAAAACTTTCAGCCTATAAAGCGAGAAGTCCAGAGTTCAATACCGGCTCGGGGTAAACTTTTTTTTTATTTTATTTTCGTTTATACTAAGGGCTGGCAAAGGTTAGTCTTGGGTCGAGATTTCCGTATGTAAGAAGAGTACAATGCGTTTATAATGTACTGAACAAAGAGAGGATAGTAAACACGTTGCCAAACGCACATGGCTAAGAGACGTGGAAGGGGATATAGCAGATTTGTCGCAGTTGAGCGGTCGACCTAATCAATACCTCTGTCAGTACTTAAAGTTCTAGGGAAAGGTGTATGTCATGCGTTCAGCTTCACGATTTAATTACGTCTCGTGATACTTGATTTGTTTATTTATTAACGAGTCGTAATTTTCCCTATAGCTTGAATTTTTTTAAGTGCAAGCTAGAAACACTTGCATTTTTGGTAAAAATAAGTGGAATTGAGTGGTTGTTCGATAGTGGTCGCGCTATTAGAACTCTGAATTCAAAAATCGATATCTGGAAATCTATTAGAAATAATAGATTGTAGTTTTTTCAAGAACTTTGTTAATATTTCTGCTGTATTTTCTTTGTAGACAGTATATCAAAATCTTTATCAATAAAAAAATTACACGATTGCTCAAAATTGCTATGCTCTAAAAGTAAATGGATAGATTGTTTACAATTTTTGAATGGAAAAAACAACCGAATTTTTCTTATGTAAACATATTGTAAAATATCCGATCTTGAAAATAAAAAAAAGTTTCAATATCTAAAGTGGTTCTTGAGTTATGGCCTGTTATGTGTTGAGTTCTTAAATTATCGCGATTACTGACGTTTTCTCGTTATAAAAAAAATGACACCCTAACGATATCCTTATAATTCCATTTCAGATGCTCAGAAACATTACAAACCTAATGATTTTATCTAGTTATCTCTTGAAAAAAAAGTCTTAAAAATAAGCGGTTTGCGATCGTGATTTTACTTTACTTGATAGGGAAAGGCGTATCGGCAACGTCGCCACAGCACACCGTCGTGCGTCGCGTCGGTCGGTCGCATTTCTCTCATTCCGACTTAATAAGATCCTTATGCGATTTACTTCCAACATGTAAATGCCGACCCAAAAGTTGCCAGCGCGGTATTCTGATAGTAGAGTATTAAATAATTTTTTTTTAATCACCAAAATTATTTAAATAAAGAACAAAATTTAAATTAAATTTTCTCTGAAAGGCACCTATTGTAGCCGTGGAAAAAATAAACTTGGATTGGCCTGGATTTTCTATTTTGATTGGTATGATTAATTTATTTTATAAGAATTTTTATGTTATACGACATTTTATCACTTAAAACTTCTTCCTGGGAGGGGTAATTACCCCCATTACCCCTCCCGTATATGCGCCCCTGATACTAGTATTTAAAGGGCTAAATAAAAATATAGAAACTTCTTTCAATGCACAGTAGTGAACGTAACGTCTACAGGGTCCAGCAATAGTGCGTCGGGCATCTGTACCTCCTAGAATAAAAAAACTTGGGAATTTTGTAACAAACCTAAAGTATGTACTAGGATGTATTTCAGGAAAACATTTTAACTTCTATAGGGTGGCTCAAAAAAGTGTGAGTGGATCGGGATGATTTTTTTTAGTGAAACACCCTGTATATTATTGCATTTTTGGCTTCCTTTCAGATCACTTTACATAAACCTAAGACATGAGTAAATATATTTCGGTAATTTCAGAGATATTAATAAATAAATAAAAATTATATATTTTTCAGCCTTTCTTAAAAAAATTATTATAATAATACCAAGAACTGTCTTGAAATCAAAACTGTATTAGATATTTACTTTAGATGGTCTGTACTTACTTTACTATAAATATGGAAATCGTACATCATACAGGATGTTCAAAATTCTACGCTAAACTTTCTAAAATATGCAATAATTTTTCTTTGTTTTTTTTTAATGGGACACCCTGTATATTATTTTTTCAATAGATGGATAATTAAAAAATGAACATTTTTTGCATTTAGAGTATTTCAAAATGTTTAACGGTTTCGCAGATATTCCCGGTTTTGTATTTCATATGGCATTTTCCACAGTAAATTTTTATCAAAGCCACCCAATGATTTTTCTCACGTATTTTACCATTGAAAGCGCCATATGAAAATAATACTGCGTGTATCCGGAAAACTATTAAAAATTTTGAAATACTTTAAATACACAAAATGTTCGTTTTTTAATTCTCCATCAAATAAAAAAAATAATATACAGGGTGTTCCATTTAAAAAAACGAAGTAAAATTATTTTATATTTTTGAAAGTTTGGCGTAAAATATTGAACATTCTGTATGATTTACGATGACCATATTTATAGCAAAGTAAGAACAGACCATCTAAAGTAAATATCTAATATAGTTTTCAGTTCTTGTATTTTTAATATTTTTTTAAGAAGGGTTGAAAAATATATATTTTTGATTTATTTTTTAATATCTCTGAAACTATTGAAACCGATTTACTCAGATCTTAGAATTACGTAAAGTGATCTGAAAGTAAGCCAAAAATGCAATAATATACAGAGTGTTCCATTTAAAAAAAATGATCCCGATCCACTCACACTTTTTTGAGCCACCCTATAGAAGTTAAAATATTTTCCGGAAATACATAATGGTACATACTTTAGGTTTGCAGTTAAACAAAATTCTCAAGTTTTTTTTTTATTTTAGGAGCTACAAATGCCCGACGCACTATTTGCGGACCCTGTATATCGGCAGCCAGACGGCCTGCCCCCTGCTCCAGAGAGCATAGTAAAAAATATATCAAAGAGCCAGTTTTCTTAAAATAGGTACTTGTTTTCCAAACGTTGCTTTTACTATTAGGGGATAAGTGGGTCCTTATGGGTTTGCCGCTGCACTGCAAGAAATTACAAAACAAAATAGTTATTTTTGTAAACACTTCTGCGTTAAACCTAAACGGACGCTGCTTGTCAGTTGTGGTTACAGTAATTTACCATTTGCCGCAGGGCATGTTTACGTTCGAAAGTTTCTTTCTGTTGTCGGAAGCAAAAAAATATAAAGAATCGAGAAAAAAACTATTTAAAATATTTAAATTGAACTATTCGAGAACACTTTACTTTTTAAAATAGATAATAAGAACATTTAGTTTAGAACGTCAACGATTTCTTGTAGACGTATCTATTTTAAAAAGTAAAGTGTTCTCGAATAGTTCAATTTAAATATTTTAAATAGTTTTTTTCTTTATCCATTGTATTTTTTTGCTTCCGACGACGGAAAGAGAAAACTTTCCGAAACGTTAAGCATTTTTTTCTTTGTTAGGCAAATTTTTATTACTGTAAACACAACTTCTGACAAGCAGCGTCCGTTTAGGTTTAACGCAGAAGTGTTTACAAAAAATAACTATTTTATTTTGTAGATTTTTCTTGCAGTGCAGTGGCGAAAAACCCATAAGGATTTTTTTGGATAGATGAATCCGCCACATAGGTATAGACATTTTTTACTATTAGGACATTTTACAAATAAAACATGACAGATTTTTTTGGAACTTATTTACTTCGAGTCTTCAATTATGTGCGGATGCGCTGATTCTAATCATTTTGATATTGAAAACAAATATTTTTTTCTTTCTGTTGGATATTGTCACAATGTTAGATATTTGTCTTCTAAATAAATCTAAATATATTTTAAAGAAACAATACCTCGACTTTTACAATAATTTTATTTAAAACTTACAACATCCTAATAAAGACCATTTATAAAATAAAAGTATATTAACAATTTATATACAGGTATAATTTTACCACAGCTACAAATTACTAAGGTTCAAAGTTGAATTTTAAGCGAACCCCCACTTAAAATATAAGAATTTCTAAATAAATTGATATAAAACTGCACTTTCAATTTAAATACATGACAACAAATAGATCTTAAAATATTGATTTTTGGACAGTTTGGTTAGATACTCAATAAACCAAGTAATAATAATCACATTGAGTGTAGATCCCAGAATATCAATTTCAGGCACCAATCAATTAGTCTAGGCAGTCAATTCAAGTTGATGTGCCCGACTTCTTTTTGTTCCTCAATATGAACTTTTCTTCCAAATCTCCGGGAACCTTAAAAAGAGTTTTTTAAGTAAATAATTGTGTTTTGTTCAAATAAAGGACGAAGGAAAATAATAGTAGACATAGTGTAAAGCTGAATTAGGTACAGTGTCAAGGTGCCTTTAGGTGGTTTGTTATTGCTTTTATTAAAACTAAATTATTGCATTAAACTATACATAGATATAAAAATAAGTGTTAGTGTACTATAAATATGTTTGTGTATAATGTGTGTGCTACAATCACCATCCTAAACTAGGTACTACAATCATTAATATAGATAAAAAGTTTACAGACATATGCTAAGTATTTTTATTTATTTAAAAGTGAAATAGATATTATTCAGATTTTGGTAAACATTTTCATTCGTTTTGTGAATATATGAGTTATAATTTTAACGATTACAGGCCTAGGGCTAACAATTATAGAACATTTAGTACAGGATATATTAAAATATATTTGACTGATTTTTTTGGCCATTAAAGGGAATGGTATTTTAAAAGAAACTTCTTTTCTTCAATGTACCGGGTGGCCAACTAAGAATGGACGCCGGCTGTATCTCAGAAACTACTTATCGTATAACTTTGGGAAAAAAAAATTTAATAAGTAAATCGATCAAGAGAAATCGCTGGAAATTATTTCCAAGTTCGAAAAATGTCCGCTAGGGGGCGTTTCCCTGGTAGCCAATCAGAAAACAGGGGTTTTCTCAAAAATGTGCAGGTGAACAGGTATTTTAAATATTTCTATTGTAATCATCGAGAAATTTGTATTTTTTTATATAGAGTGTTTTGCTCTATCTCTTAAAATAAAGTGGTGGGGGAAGGTTAAACTTGTTTTTATTAAAATAAGGATAACTCTGTGGTTTAGGTTACCCAATTTAAACAAACTAGGGCTCGTTTAAAAGAGCGTTTCTTCCTTAATGATCTCTAGTATAACGTCAACGAACAACGTCAAAATATTAAAACGTTTAAGTTCAGTTTTCATACATCCGAATTTCGGGCGTTTTCCTAAAAAAATGACGTCATAAATATTTAAACGTGTTTATGTAACATTATCATCCATCCATATAATTTTTACAAATTTCTTGGTTAATTATACGTAGGTAGTTATCAGATTAAAATGTCCGAAAGTCGGACAAACAATAATTTTATTAAAATTTCTAGGAATTGTGTGCAGCCATATTGCTTTTAACAGAAAACGGCCGAATTTCGTATGGTCGAAAACTATAGGTATATTTCATGTAACGTCATTTAGTAATTAATCCAAGTTCGTCCTTGATTTCACTTGTTTTCGTGTTTTACCTGTTGTTTATGTTATTTATTATTATATTATAAAGTTTATGACGTTTGGGTCACTTTTCATATACCTCCTAAAGTGCGAATCTTAACAATACGCACTTCTGGTCCAAATCATGCAGTAGTAGTAGAGATTTTACAGATGAAAGTAGTTCAGCACCAAGACCGTTGGTCAGTAAATGTTTGGCAGGAGTTGTTTGGAGGATGACGAATGATTGGACTTTTTTAATTATCTGAATGAAATGAACTATCCATAATTTCTAAGAAATTAATTGCCAATTTTGTTAGGGGATCCATCATGATGAAATTGCATTTGTTGCAATTTAATCAGCATGAATGCGGTTGGTGTAGTTGATGCAGTTGTGCCGCTTATGTTGCTATGAATGTGTGGAGCTTCTTGGATACCACTCACTTTAGTAGATAGAGACGCTAGAGCGGCATATTTCCATCGCCAGCTAGGTCATCAAATTCAATATGCCTGGGTTTTAATTTATGGGGTCGAATCAAGAACGAACATGGATAAATAACAATCAAATGGCATTACAATGAAATTAAAATATATGTTTTGATATTTTGTCGTAACCAATTTATCTCTTATTGTTTTCTAACCTACTACTATAAATTTTAGACCATATAATCCTAAGCGGCAGTCTAACATGATTTGTTCTCTTAATATCTCCGGTTAGAGAGAAGATAGAAAGTTGCGGTTTGCGCTGAAATTTTGGAAATTTTGTGCTGTATTTAACTGTGCAAAGAGAAATATGGCCTCCTATTTAAATTTTTTATGCAAAAGCGCAATATCTGTGATGATGTCAAATAGCGCCCTCTAGCTGCCACGAAAAAAATTATGGACACAAAATTTATACTGGAGATCATTAAGGAAGAAAAACTCTTTTAAACGAGCCCTAGTTTGTTTAAATCGGGTAACCTAAACCAGAGTTATCCGTATTTTAATAAAAGCATGTTTAACATTCCCCCACCACTTTATTTTAAGAGATAGAGCAAAACACTCTATATCAAAAAAAAAATACAAATTTATCGATAATTACAATAGTAATATATAAAATACCTGTTCACCTGCATATTTTTAAGAAAAACCCTGTTTTCTGATTGGTTATCAGAGAAACGCCCCCTAGCGGGCATTTTTCGAACTTCACAAAGATTAGGGAGAACATGTAGATAGTAGTAGCTTTGGTACTTAGGTGAGATTTCTGCGTTTGGTTTGTCAGATCGAAGGATTCACAAAGATAATGGGGATAAATCCCCGAAACCGGTCGTCAAATTCGGCTGTTTCCTTCGGTCCGATGAACTTAAAGCAGAAATTAGCACATTTGTAGGGGTTTTTAACGTTTCTGTATACTATATTTATTTTATATGATTCACTGTTTAAAAAGATACCCAATTGTGTGTATCAATGTCCCAATATGTTTAATAATTCAGTGGTAATAGAAACGCGTTCTCTCTCTCTCTCAAATATTAATGCCAAAAACGACAATCAAATATATTTTAAAAATTTTTTGTTAATTGTTCTAAAATTATTATTAAACGTGTTATTACATTACTGTTGTTAATATTTAGTTGAATTAAGATATGCTAAAATATTAATCAATGTGTAAAATCTTTTACACCTATTAAACATGTAAGGATATAAAATATAACTCTATTCACACTGATTAAATTAGAGAGACAATTTCTTAACAATTAAATTTTATCACTTCCCCAGAACTATTATTTTTTATTGGCATTAATCGACCACTAAGGATGGGTTTTATTTTATCTTATACTAGGGCCACATCTATTTATAATTATTGTGAAAATTTTTATATGACACAACACTAAAAATCAAGACGCAATATTGCTACGAATATTCTGTTTTTTCGTAAATTTTATAAATCGTTACAGGGAAAACAATACATCAATTTTTGAAAATCGAAGTATTTTTCTTTGTAACGGTTTAACTCTAGTTCTAACAAAAAACAACAATAAGCTCAACGAGAAATTAAAAAAATATATAATTTAACGACTGTCTTTTGCTTTAATATTTTTTTTATTGCAAATTATTACTCGTAATACGATAGTCATAGAAGATATTATTAGTAGAGATGTGGCCATAGCAACAATAAATTTTGATTTGTATAAGTATGCCAAAAGCCTCTTAACCATAGAACAACTTTTTTATATACATGAAAGTATTTTGAATATATACTAACAACTAATTCTAAAAATAAAGTGTTGTTTAATATAGATATATTCATAAATTTTATATATTATTAAAAAATATTTAAAAAAGAAAAATGTATATAATTAAAGAACAAAGAAAATAAAGCAGGTGTGCTACAACAAAAAAGAGATTGCACTCATATAAAAGAGAAAAGGAAAGTTAAAATTAAAGCATTTTAAAATTAAACTAGTTTACAGTTTTAGCTGGTTTTAGCTTGGTCTTATGATTAATTTGGCATTATGAGTGGTTATTTTTATTACTATTTAATAAAACATAAATCAAGGTATGAACTAAAAAGGATCTTTATTACTTTTAAAGTTCAATACGTCATGTCAAAAATATTTGTTGATAATTATCTCTAAACATAATATGAGTTATTTATACTTAAACGTACACAAATACTAAACTGTGCGTGAATAAACTACCACTAACTAAACTAAGAAAAGCACAATAAAAGCGGCCAATTATTTCAAAGATTCTTATACAGTGTGTTTCAAAATAGAACAATAATATTTAAGTTAATCTAAATATGTTCTTAAGAAACCTTGTAGCTACATATACTTAACTCAATATTTGTTTTATATAAAATACTACAATGTTTTAAAAATGTATTTTTGTTAAAGTTAATTCATTATTTTTAAAGCTTTAACTATTTCAGATATTTACCTGAAATGTTACAGACGCAAATTAAAATTTTAGGAGGCATAAATAGCACATTTTGGTTTAATTTTTTCTCTTTTTTAAGAAGAGATTAAGATGTAAACGAAAAACTTTGTAAATTAACACCTTTAATAGTTAGAATTCTAGTTTGTAACACCCTGTATGCTTAAGGATCCAGACCAAATTGCACATGAAGACCAACTTTTAGTTAATTGTACACGATTTAAAAAGTATAGAATTATTATAATTCGTTTTTATGATTATTGCCAAGTTCGTTATTTGGCAGTTATCTGTTGGCCTGGCTCCTGAAACAGTTTTAAAATTTATTAAAAACTTGTGTTTAGACGTGTTGTTTTATTTAAACCAAATAGTGTTTTACTGTATAGTTTAAAATTAACGCAAGTATTCTGAATTTAAAAAAAAATGCTTGAATCTATTAAAGAATAGTATTGGACGTTGTTTGTAATATAAATATTAGCCCACGGCCACACAGAAAGCGTTTTTAGCGTTTTGCGTCTCAATCGCTCTTTGCGATTTTACCGTTTTCAGAGTTTTTTAGATTTGTGTCAATTAAAAACACTCAAAAAACGCGGCAGGTCTGCAGTTTCTATCAAGATATCAATTAGTAACGTCGCAAGCTCGTGGACTCCCGGCCCGTTCAACAATCAATCCTGTGAGAAAGAGATAGGCGAGATCGGCGCGGTTAGCGTTGAAGAGACGAAGATAAAAGATGCCGGGATTGAATTGTGGACGGGCCGGGGCATATATTCGGCGACAAACACAATCTACTGCTAGTACCAGTGGCGTGTGTAAAAATAATAATTATTATTTGCCATTTATTTTACAAATTTTAGTTTATATGTGTATAGTATTTTTATTTTGTAGTGTTGTGGTTACTTGTTATAATTATAATATAATATAATAAATAATTATAATTATATAATAGAATAGTAAATATTACTAGTTGCTAACGCAATTTTAGGATATGATTTATGAAACTTTTTGGAGTGAAACTTGTTTACGCGCGCTGGGAATTCAAGGCCGTGACATACGAGCTAGCGAGACGGCCCTGACACACGAGCTAGTTGTAACGAAACGCGTTAACGGCTTAGAAATACGTAGTGACGCGACGTGTATTTGTGTGCAGTCCACGTGTTTATCAAAAATATTGATATTTTAATACAAATTTTGTAAAAGTGAATCAAATTATTGTGTAAAAAACCATTTGTTACACGTAAAAAATATTTTTATTATTTTACGCGAATAAAACTGTTACACTTAAAAAACTATCTTTTACGCGTATAAAACTATTTATTACTGACGGTAGAAAACTATTTTTTTACGCGTATAAAACTGTTTGTTACGTGTAAAAAACTATTTGTTAGAAGTAAAAAATTAATTTTTACACGTCAAAAACTTATTGTTTCTAGTAAAAAAAAACTTTTTTACCCTAAAAAAAGAAATTTTTATGTGTAAAAAACTATTTTTTACGCGTCAAAAACTATTTATTTTTGTTAAAAAAAAATTTTACGCAGAAAAAAACACTTTTTATGCATAAAAACTATTTTTTTTAAGCGTAAGAAAATATTTCTTTAATTTATTACTTTTTCAACATTTCAAACTATACTTTTTCAAACGTTTCCTTCAAATTTTTGAATTTAATAGAATCTTCCTAAACAGTAGATATTCTCCATAAAAATATTTTTAGATAATACCCTTAAATGAAAAAAATGCATACTATTTAATTTATTTTTATTGTATTATTAAATATAACGTCCGCCTATGACGGGGCCTTAACTTAAGAAGTCGCTAAAGACGCTACAGAAAACAAAATTATTTGTTTTCATTTACGTTTTTTTTTGCGAGACACGCCGAACGTTACACGCTTTTGGTGGGGCCATTCCTATATAATCCTGTTATTTTGTTTTAGTCGCTAAAGACGCTTCACGCTAAAAACGCAAAAAACGCTTTATGTGTGGCCGCGGGCTTACAATTTTTTTATCCAAAATATTTTAATTGATTAGAACAATCCAAAAGTAACAAGAAAATTATTGTGCTTTTGGTTAAAACATTGATGTGTATTTTACTGCGTGTTATTATAATTAAACATAGACTTTCAACTTCTTTTATTTAAATATTTAACTATCCAAAGTCTTAATAAAAAAAACAAAATGAAATATTGGATAAAAAAAATATTCAGTATTTTGCAGTACGCTGATAACAATATATAGAAAAGATATTGGTGACATAAACTCGGTAATGGTCGATGCCTATTAATATTTGCTTTGGGAGAAAAAAAAAGTTTTTAATATTGTGTTAATAGACAGAAAAATCAATATTGAGCGTAAGATAGCAGTGGATTTAAGTAATGTTATTACGTACATGCAAATAAAATAGTTATATCCAAGTATCAGAAACACATACCTTAGGTTTGGCACGATGGGTATCCACAGCATCGATTGGCAGTTTAATATGTTCCACTCTACAACCATATGCAACTGGTGTTAATTTTATTATTGTGTGCAGAGGTACCCTCAGATAGGGTAGTTCATCTGGAAAATATATTTAAGATAAATATCATAG